GCTCGGGCGGCCAGCAGCTCCTCCGGATGCACCGTGGCACCCAGCCCTCTCCCTCCCGCGGCCCTCGCTAGAGAGCTGTTCCGGACCCACCGCGGCCTTTTAATTCATATCCGCGACTTGCCCACCACTCAGATTTACCCACTCGTCCCTGAACCAGCCTCATCTCTCCTTGCCTGGGTTTGCTCCCCCTCGCAGCACGGATGGGGACATCTCCCATCCCTGCCCTGCCAGCTGAAAGGGCTTCCCCGCAGACAGTTCGCCTGTCCTGCTGACACAGACGCACCAAAAAAAGCAGGAAAACCAGTTTTATTGATGAACGCCTCTTTCCAAGGAGACATCCCCACCCCTCCCACCCCAGAGCATCAGGGGGAGCTGGTTTCCTTTAATGTTTAATATGGGAAGCTTAAAGTATCAAAATAGTGAGAGAAGCCTCAGCAAGTGCAAGGGAAATGGGGGGACTGGGCATCCCGGAGCCGAGGAGGGGTGGGGAGCTGGGCTCCGGGATCGGGCGCCCCGGTGAGAGCCTGGGGCACAGGCAGCCACGGGGCTCCATGGCACGGGCTGGGGATGCTCAGGCTGGGAGGTTAGTGGGGAGGATAGGAGCAGGGCAATAAATGAACTTTGAAAGCTGCAGACTCGTTACTACAGAGATTTAAAGTTACAAAAATAGCAAAGATCTTGGGAAATGATGCAGGCACTTGGGAACGAGGAAGAGGGCAGAGCTGGCTGGGGACTGCGGGGGAGGTAAGGCCCCGCAGGAAGGCGACGACGTGGCGGAGAGCAGCTCTAGGGGCTAACCCGTTGCACCCCAGAGCGCAGGCACTGCAGCTTCGAGCTCAGCCCCTCTGAAAAGGCTTGGGCTGAAGAAGATGCTCTTGGGGGAGACTTGGGGCCTCCTAAGGAAGCTGCGAAGGCAGTGGGAACTGCGGTGGGCAGGGAGATTCAGCCAGCAATAAGGCATCAAAGGTGAAAGGCGGTTCTGTGCGAGGATTCAGCAAGGGAACATGCAGAGCTGCTCCCTACCCTCCACTGTACAAGAGGGCAAGACGCCACTCTCTCCCCTTCCCACGTGGGGAGGAGAGAGAAGAAAAGAACTGGAAAGAGAACGACAAAGGCACAAGGGAAATCCTGAAAGGTCTGGAGGGCCAGGGGGCCGGGCTGGCTGCGCGGTAGCCCAGGCCCTGCAGCGCGGCAGGGGGCTCTCCGGCCCCAGGCACCCTGCACCCCAGGACGCGCCGCGCCGGCATGGGG